ATTGATTACGTGGTTTATTTGTTACAATTGAATTATGATTTAATTATATTATATGTTATTGTTGGAGTTGATTGAACAAGGATGACCAGGTACGTTTTCTTACTTCGAATTTGTGTGATTTGCATAACGGTAAGTAGAAGGTGTTACACCTGACACTAGGCCGCTAATTGAGTTGTATGATTTATTGTCTGATTAATGATATATTTATTGTTATGATTAAATATAATCCTGTTGGGTTATGGAAGTAAATAAGGAAGTGAGATTGTTGTTGGAATAAGCTTGAATTATAGAGATGTTGTAAATAAATGATTATGCTACCTAGGGGAACTCTAGGACTGCCTTAGTACAATTGTAAGTATAAATGTCAATAGATAGGATCAGCCCTGCGGATCTGATATCCGACGGCTGCGGGTTAAAACGTACGTACGGGATCCAAGAACTGTCGTTCCGAAGGGGACAGGGGTACCACCCACCCAGCGGAGAACTCCTTCGTTGGTCATCAGGTTGTTTTGTGTCATAAGGTGCTAAATAAGGTAGACTGGAGACATGGCCGTAGGTAGTGGCTCCAAGTCCGAACATAAGGTTGTAAATAAGGAAGTATGGTCTTAGCCTTGTAATTATGTTATGAGCTATGAATGAAGACAGATAGGGTAATTAATTGTTACTCGTGAATTTATTTAATGACTATTATGTGGTATTATGTTGTATACTTGTGTGCATGATATTGTATGAGGTTATGAGCTAGTTGGTTCGTCTGTATGCGTAGTCGAAACGTTAGATAGTTCTCACTTAGCTTCAATGCTGAGCGTGTAGCTCTTTCTCCTATTTGCTACACGTAGGTAACATGAATGTTGAATAAAGAACTATCCTGGAGGGCAGCGAGGGCAGAGAGGTGGATGGATGCTAGCTGGAGGAGTTTATTATTTAATACTTAAGTTTGAATTAATTATGTTTTTAAGGGCAAGAACCCAAAGTTGTATTTTGATTAAATACTTAAAGGCTTCTGCACCATTTTGTGAACTCCGATGGATATTTAAATAATGTTTTGAATTAAATGTTTTAAATTGTTTTGAAAAATTATTGTGTCTGAATGCCAATCTAGTAGCAACCCGATCCGCTGGTCCTTATATTCGGGTACATTGGACATATTTTGGAGTCCATGGGTGCTGCTTCTGAAGGAAAGAAGTATAATGCCAGGTATTGGCTATACTATCTATCTTCCAAAGGGGAAAATAGAGCTGACACTAACGCAACTGCAGAGGAAAGTTCTTCAGAAAATGTCCATATCATGAGTCTGAAGAAGTCATTTGGAAAAGAAGTTCACAACCAAAGCCCTCAAAAACTTGAAAAAGAAGTTCATCAAGTCCATAGTCTTCCAAACTCCTCACCACAATCTCAAACAGATGATGCTGATAACCAATTCTGGCAGCTCTACTATGACTGGAGAGCTTGGAAGGTTGGAAATTCAGCAGAGCAGTTGTTGGGATGGGATCAACAATTGAAGAATGAAAAGATCATCAAGAAGTGCTTGGGACTGCCAGTCAACCACAGCTGTGAACAAATCTTAGATGATGACTGGGTATGGCAAAGGAACTATGAAGACTTGCATTTGGAATACTTGGCCACCACACCAGTTTCAGAATTTGAAGTGGATGATGAAGATCCTTCAGTCTACAAGCCGATCTTCTCAAAAGCCACAGAAGATCAGATGATTCTCACTTCTGAAGCACAAGCTGATTTGGAAACAACAGCTAAGGATTTCCCAATCTTTCTGGAAACCTCACCTGCCTTTGTAACGGTTCTGCCTGAAGCTGACCAAGAGAATGTAGCCTCTACTCCACTAGAACAGAACCAAGAAGCATCAGAAGAAGAAATTCAACAACCTCTCCAATCTCAAGTCCTTGAGATTCGCACAACTCCTTGTGAGATCTCTAACCAGCCTGAACTTGAGATCCCGGAGAAGTCAGGAGAAATTCTGGAGCAGTCCACTCCTCTAGAAATGAATGAAGTCCAAGAGAAGCAAGCTGTAGAAATCCAAAGGAATTCTACAGAAACTGAAAAGGAAGTTCAAATGGCACCACTGGAGGCCCCTGAAACTCCAGTAGCTGTTTTTGAAGAGCAGAATGAAGGCGAAGAAAGAGACTCCCTCTCTAGGGATATATCAAATTTTATACTTGATGAAGCAGAGGAAGAATCTGAAAGGACGCTAAGGATCATTGATGAAGAAGATGTTCAAGAAGATGTTGAATCTCTTCCTATGCAACTCTTCCAAAGAACATCCTCTTCTCACCAGGTAACCAACTTTCATTTCCACAGCTCTTCCATTCCTACACTTCCGGATGAAGTACCGGAAACCTGGACAAAAAAGGTCCAAGTGTTGATTGAATCAGCCCTAGCATCTCAGCATGCCTCCTTTAGGCAAGAGATAGAGCAGATGGAAGCCATGCACAACAAGCTGATTGAGAAATCTGAAGAGAAACACAGCTCAGATCTCAAGGAGATAAGCAAGTCAGGGCACAAGACTCTAGAGATCATCTCTCTATTGAGTAACTCTCTGAGCGACACAATGGAAACATATGCATCTGACAGTTATCTTCAACTCAAAGAAGTCAATAAAATCAGAGAGCAAATAGCCAATGTCACAGTTAGTCTACAGAAGCAGATGTCCCTTCTCCAAATGGACATCAGAGCAGCCCTAGCAGTGTCTTCAGCAAATCAGGTTGTAACCAAAGACTACTTGAAGATTATTATTGACAATCAAAAAGAAGCACACAGACTGTTCAGACACTTTAGCACAAGCTCTGGCAACTGCAAGATGGAAGTGATTCTTCAACAACACAGTCCATCCTTGATTCCAGAGCTCCCTATTACAGTCAAGGAAGGAGAAGTCTCTTATATTCCTTCGCATCTGAACATGACTGACCTGATCCTCGAAGCTCAGAGAAATAATCCAGAGAACTCAGCACAGCATCTATCTAGCTCAGAACTGGATGGAACAGAGGCTATTGGAACCATTGTCTCCCATTTCTCAAATGATGCCCAAACAGAGGAGAGACGCAACAACATAAGGCGCATCAAAGAACTGTGTGGAAACATGCAAGGCATTAGTGAGATTGCCGGATCATCAAAGCGCAGGAAGCAGTAAAGGCTTTTTTCATCAAACCAGGGGAAAGTATGTGAAAACACTATTTTGCTTTGATGAAAACACATTCTTGTTTAAACATTGCTTGTTTGGATTAAACATTGCTTCAATGTTTCTCTTAATATGCTTACAATGCTTCACTTTAAGTGTGATTCTTGAGATTTGTCCTTAAGCGCATACATTCAGGGGGAATATAATTCAGGGGGAACTTAACTGTTTTTGGCTAACAATTGCTTCAATTATTCCTATTGGGTTCTCAAGGTCCAAAATAAAACTATCATTTTTCATTCCCTATAGTTCTAATTTCTAAATAGGACGAGGTAGTACCAAAAAAAATTTGTAACTTATTTTAAAAGAAAAGTGGTACTATTTTTGGGCCACACTTTTGGGCTTAGCTAAACCAAAACAGTTACATTTTTTTTCAAACCAAACGAAACTGATTTTTAAATTTGAACAGTTTCAACACATTGGTAATTGGTAAAAGATTCCTTCCACTTTTAAACTTCTTGGAAGTTGAAACTCTTTTACTCTCACCGTTCCATTTCCATCTACCCAATTAGTGGAACCCGTGAACCTCCCCTCTCTCTACCTCCTCTCCTATTTAAATCAAGACATCCCAATCCATTCTTATCATAAACAACTCTTTCAATATGAAAAGTCTTCAAACTCACTGTCTAAGAAACACACCAAGAAAAATATCCTCAATGGAGAAATTTTTCTTTCTCACCCTCATAGACGGCAATGGAGAAAGCCTAATGAGAAGAAAAGACTTTCAAGGTCTATGGTGAGAATCTCGGCAGTAGAGAAGGTCTATGGTGAAAATCTCGTATTTTTCACGATTACACCATACACCTTCTCTGGAAACAACACTCTCTCCATCTTTGTTTCTTCTAATTCTTTTTAAAAATTTTCTCTCTTTCTTTTATTTGTGCAGTCTCTGCACCCTTTATTCAAGCATTTTTTATTTACTTTCTCAAAAAAAAATTTTAAAACCTAATTTTTTTCAATCAATTCTCTTTTCCAAAACCTTTTCTTGTCATTTTGTTTTTTTTCCTTTCTTCCACCGCTGCCTCCTTTCCCTCCACTTTCTTTTTGTTTTTGTTTTTGCTTTTTGGAGAGATGTTGGTTCCAAGATCTCAAATATCCACTTTGGATATTAAAGATCTATCAAACGCACTGCCATTTGTACTACCAAGCAAAATCTGCTGGAAGTGAAAGCAGCAAATGGCAGAAAATATCACAAATCTCAAGACAAGACTTGGTTTAGGAATTATTGTAATTTGAATTGTATTTCTTTAGGAGTTTTTGTTAACAAGCTGTATATTATGAGAAACTAAAAGAAAGTTATAAAATTAGTTCTCAGTACAGCGACCGGAACGCTTGAACACTTGTTTGTCATCATCAAAAAGGGGGAAATTATTGGGAAAATATTATAGATTTTGATGATGATGTATTTAGATTGTAATAGGGACATTAGGCCTCCCCCAAAATTCAATGTAATCTTTCTTTTTAGAAATATTGTTAAAACCGGGTTCTTGAGAATTCCAATAAAGTTGTGATATTTCTTTAAGTGGTTTGATGCTTAAAGACTTAATCAAATTCTGTGATATGGAAATTGGATATCTTGATCGGAAATGTCAGAGACAAGTAAGGATTTCTCAAAGCAGATGAAGATCCTCTAATCCGGGATACTACATAATAACCGGATGTCTCGCTACAACCCACTGAAGGCTAAGTCATTCAAATCGGAAGACTACCGCGAATCTCTTTCTCACCTGGAAGTCTGTGAATGACTCTTCCGGATTTGTCAGCAAAAGAATCGGATGCCTCAAGAAAAGATCGGAACTCTCAGAAGCGGACAAGTGAGAAAAGACTTAGAAAAATTCTAAGTCTTGAATGAGGAAATTCTACCCGTTGGTAAGGAAAAATCAATCTCTTGATTTTCAACGGCTAGATTGAAGATAATTAAGCTGATTCAAGAACAAATGACTTGAAGACAAAGTCTGGAACCCTCAAATTAAAGAGCTCGTCCAGAATTCCTAAACAAGCACTAAAAGACAAACTGAGTAATGTGCTACAGTCCAGAATTCTTGAACAACAGCTAGAAGACGGATTCCGTGGAAAAAGGAATCCCTTCATTCAAAATTGAAGCCAGCAAATGCAACAGATAGTCTACTTTGATTCAACGGATAAATTATCCAATCCAGCTATAAATAGCAACCTTGGAAGACTGGAGAAGATATAACGAGATAGACGAACACAACGAAGCAATATCTAACAACAAAGCTATCTCATTCACAGTTAGCCCAAAAAGCTTGATAAAGAGAGATTTCTAAAACTCCTTATCCAGAAGCAAACTTCTCCTCCTTCCAAAGAGCTATAGTGTAAACACTTGAAGGTTTCCTTGCCTCAAGTACCACACCACGTTGAAGGATATAACTTTTGATCAAACTTCTTGATTAAAAGGGGGTAGATCAACTTTCTCACAAGTTGATCTTGGAGGTCCTATTGTTCGGATCTTGCAGTTGTTGAAGAAGCGTGACCTTCGAAGGAACAACAAAGCCAGCATGAGTGCAGTAGCAACTTTGGCCTTGCGAAGATATACCGTGCAGAAACTCACACAAGTGTAATTGTTGGTTCTTTATTCAACAACCAACTACATAGTGGATTTTGAGGACGTAGAAGGATTACCCCACCTTCAAACCTCGTTAAAGTTTGCGTGTCTCTCTCTTTTACCTTTACTCTTGCTTGCAATTATATTAACTGTGAAAACTAACCCATCCATATTGATTACTGCTCATACTACCCACCAAATTCCGCACACAATCTAAAATTTCCAATAACTCTAGATTTACACTATTTTCACGTTTTCAAAAGAAACGAAAAAGTTTTAAAATTGTAACAAAGTCTGTTCACCCCCCCCCCCTCTAGACTTTGTATCTCACCACTTTGGGACCACCAAATAGTTTTATACTCTAACACGCCCCTCACGTACAGACATGACTTTTTTGAGTCTTGCATGTGAAACTTTAATTTTTTTAAAACTAGCTAGGTAGCGGTGAGTTTCAAATAAAATCCTGACCTCTTAGTCATTAAGGCTTTGATACGATATGAGAGAATCAATTCAACCAAAAGTTTAAGTTTATGGTTGTAGCCCTGGAATGATTTTATATACTCTAATGATATTAGTATAAAAATGATTTTTCTTAGATTTATTTTAATGAGAATTTTCAAAAATTTTATTTTATTGTACTAATATGCAATACAAATTGAGAGTAATTCAAATTAAACTTAAAGTTTATCTTATTTGAGTCAAAAAAATCGAACTAAAAAAATACACAGGGACTAAAATAGTACTCTCTTCTTTTCCAAATAAATTTCTACTTAAGTTTTTTCTTTGTCCCTAAATAAATTTCTCTTTTCTCTTAAAAAACCTCTTTTACCCCTTATTTTTTTATACTTTACCTATGACATCATACCTTTTTACTAATAATCTAAATATCACATCTTAATTTTACACATCATATCAAGAGTATTTTTGGAAAATCAACACAAAAATATCTTTTCCTTAAATACTAAAAAAGTCAAAAAAGAAAATTTAAGTAACATAACATAGAGAGAGAACCATTTTGCAATTTCTCAAAGCTGAAGTGATAGTAAATGCTCTATCAATCCACGTAGCAATCTACATGGCGCCAATTGGGTGGACGGGCATCCATGCCCCTTTATTTGGGAAGGCAACGTAGAAAATCCCTTATTTGAGCCCATCGTATTTTATTTTCTTCTTTGAGCCCATCGTTTTCAAACAGAAAAAACCAGCATGAGTACTTGATACATTTATATAGAAATGGATGCAAGCAATACATTCCCCCCTTCGAGAGGGAAAAAAACATTTATTTAATAAAACATAGTGATACGGATACAACTCACTTCGATCACATGCATGGATCTTATTTTTCAATACTCCCTACGCGTGGGAATAGTATATATATATATACATATGAACCTCGATCAAGAGTAGGCAATTCGTCTGGCAAAAGCCATGCCATCAGGCATCTCAGCAACATAGACAATCATGTTATCAGTGGGAAGAGGAGCCTGGCCGCCGGTGCGGAAAATGAGACCAAACAAGAGGCCGACGGCAGCCCCGACAATGAAGGCACCCACGAGTCCTCCCACGACCCCCGCGGCTGTGATGAATATAGCGGATTTCGTCACCCCTTTCAGCGCCGCCGATGCCGCGGCTTTTCCCAAAATGGTTCCCAACTTCTTCCCTTTTTTCTCCGCGGCGCTGACCACCACATCCCTCACCGTCTCCATCGGCTGGTCTCTTTGATATATGTCCCACACTATCTGTCCCACGTTGAATAGGAACATGCCTCCCGACTTGTATTTGGATTTCTTTGAACCAAATGGTAGAGGCTGCAAGCTTCGGTTTTCCACCCCCTTCAGCCTTCCCGATTCCTCAATTATTACATAGTATACCTGTAAGTTTATTCCATTCGTTTACCTCACGTGTTACACAACTTGATTATTGGAAGACTCTCTGGTTATTGTTACATTTTAATTTTGATCCCTATTATTTTAATTGTTACCAAATGTATACACTAATATTTTTAATATTCTTTACATTGACATAAAATGATAATGCGTTATTAAAAATTTGCACAAACATTTTGTCTCTATGTGAACCATCACCATAGCATTACACTGACATAAAATAAAGGTGCAAACTTGCAGGGTACAAATTTTTTTTGAAATATTACGATAGGCTTCTTTTGACAACAAATTTATTTTGTCATATTATGACAATAATTGTTACGATGCTTTGTTCGAAAAATTGATGTTTCTATCTCTGTACACTTTGTCTAATGAACTAAAAATATATATGAACACCTTGATGTTACATTAATATAATAAGGGGAATTTACCTTAATAAGATTAAAACATAATGACTTTCTCTAATACCATATATTTTAATTTCTCAATGTAGAACCATTGGTCATTATCCATTATTAAAGTAAATTTCTATTAAAAATCCACTTTTACCCTTACTTTTTCATACCCTACCTATCACATCATACTTTATTTCTAATAATCTATGCATCACATCTTACTTTTACCTATCACATCAAAGGCAAAATTGAAAGTCAACTACAATTTAATACTTCTTTATTTTTACACAAAGTCAAAAGAGGAACATTTTTTTTCAAACGGAGGGAGTATGTTTTAGGTACAAATTTCACATTTAATAAAGGAGAAAAATATGCGACGCTCCTGTATAACAGGGGAGGGTGAGGGTAATGACAGTACGTACCTGGAGCTTTTGGTCAATATCCAAGTCTTCAAATCGTCCAGTAAACCCAAGTTTCCTTTGGCGACTGCATAGTGCATACATGAGTATGTGATTCATTTGTAATCCAACTTTACCTCTCCCCGTTTAACAAATGGAGTGAATTACTCCGTATTAAAGATAAATTTACCTGCGAACCAGATCTTCAAAGGTAATTTCGAGGAGTCTGAGGTGTTGGGAGAATGCAACAGAAGCTGCGGTGTTTATGTTCAACCACATGAAGCTCACGACCGTGTCGTCGTACTGCTTGAGGTCCTGAGTGAACTCGGCAACGGCCACCGCGTCCCAAGGGCTGAGCTCTCCAAGGCGTTTGAAGAGATCCTCGAGATGCTCTTCCACCGACTCCAGGAAGTCCCTTCTCAGGGTGTAGTTCCTGATGATCTGGAGGGCGTTGTTGAGGCAGTGCTCCGCGTAGCTGAGGAGGGAGGCGGCGATGGGCCCCAGCACGGCGTCGTTACGGTGCGCGGCCACCACGGCCTTGCACTCGTCCAGCAGGGTGTGGACGGTAGCCAGGTTGCCGTTGATTATGCGGATGTACTGGTTCAGCTCTCCGGGGCTGTCGAAATCCAGCAGGTAGTGGAGGTTGTTGGTCTCATGCCGCCTGACCATCTCCGCCAGGAGCCGGAGCTTCTCGTCTTCCAAGAAGATCACCAAGGGTTGTGGCCCCGGGGCCGAGAGCGGTTCCAGCGCCAGGGCCGGCTGTGCTTCCGGGGAGGCTACGGGTTCCATTGCAATAACAAATAGTAGCTATGAAGAGATCAATGGGTGGTTTTTCTTTGCTCTGGGGATTGGGTATTGAGCGATTGTGTGGCGAAGCTTATGGCATTACCTCCTATTTAAAGTCGATTTGTTTATCCACTCCCACACTGTGCTCTTGTCAATTTGGAAAATGCTAGTCACAAACTTGAAGTTCACGAACTTCACAAACTTGCCTTTTGTAAAATTTAAATTAAAATATTTTTTAATATTTGAGTGCATCTTATTTCTAGGAAAGTGCTAAAAAGGTAAGTTTGTGAATTTTGTGAACTGTTTGTTTGTGACTCTAGCATCATTCTGTGAATTTTAGCAGGGTGCATTTTGCCTCGCCCACAAATAATTGCTAGTTTAAAATACTCTTTCCCTTTCTTTATACCCTTTTTATTTTGACTTTCTGCCAAAATAAGGAAAGTGTAATTTTGGTTAATTTTCCAATTTTTACTGATGTAATGGGTAAGTAAGATTTAATAGTTTGGTTATTAGTGAAAAAGTATGATGTGATTGGTAGGGTATGAAAAAATAGGGGTAAGAATGGTTTTTTAATAGAAAATAGAAGTGTTTTAGGGAATTGTGTTAAAAAGTATTCCACATTGGAAAAGTGTGAGGAAATTAATCGGTATATAAGCTCTTGAGTTGAACTAACTAATCGATTCGATTCAATCTTTTAATGTGGTTCAACCCAAGTGTCTTATTACCCAATCCAGTTGTCCATACCTATCCTAAATTTTTTCATGGTATCAGAGCAGGATTTCGCCCACCTCGTTTGTCAAGGTGTCCGTCTAGACGATCATTTCTAGCGGCCTGTTTGTCTTTAGCCCAGTGTTCCGTATGGAGTATGTACCCAACGGCCTGTGGCCCGTTTAACACGATTGCTCGTCTAGAAGTCCATACCCAGCGGCTCGTGGTCCTCTAGGTGTTAGCACTCAAAAAAAAAGTCAAGGGAATAGGAGTTAATTTGCAAATGATCAACCGGATAGATTCAAAATGGCTCGGTTGTCCACTTGAGGGGGAGTGTTAAAGAGTATCCCACATTAGAAAAGTGTGAGGAAATTAATCGGCATATAAGCTCTTGAGTTGAACTAACTAATCGATTGAATTCAATCTTTTAATGTGGTTCAACCCAAGTGTCTTATTACCCAATCCAGTTGTCCATACCCATCCTAAATTTTATCAAATTGCAAAAAATGAAAGGGGAACGGTTTAAGGGAACGGAGTGAGTACAATTGCTAGTTTAGAGCCAAATAGCTATGTTGCTCTCTATGGTTTGGAAAATAGACACTAATACCTCCTCTGTTTTTAAAATTTATTTTTGAAGTCCCCGTGATTTCAAAACATTACACCCACGCCCCTTCTGGTCATTTTCTGGCCATTTTCCGGCGAACAGGGGGCATGGGCTTATAATTTCTAAACCATAAGGGGCATTCGTGCTCATTTCTTATTTTTCATTTATTATTTGTTTTTTTTCCCTTTTTTAAATATTTTCTACCTCTTTTTAATTTTCCTAGAATTTTTTTAAATTTATTTTTAATTTTTTTTATAATGTTTAAAAAAATTTAAAATTATTTGTTTGAAATAAAAATAAAAATAAAAAAATTAACATACATTACATCTATCTCAAATTAAACATTTTCACTTTTTGTTACTTAGAATAATTTTTTGGAAAATTCAAAAAGAAAACTCAGAATAAAAAAATAAAAATATGGAAAAACGAAATGAGAAAATTAAAATACGCAAACAAAGTCTTGTACAAAATAAAATTTGGACACGCCTAAAAAAGCCCTTAGAATTGAGATGTCCAAAAAGGATTTTCATTTTTATTTTTGTATCATTTTGTTTCTTATTTCATTCCTCATTTTTTTGAAGTTCTCAAAAAAATTCCTTTTTTTTCAGAAAAAAATTGTTAATTTGAGACGTACATATGCTTTATATGTTAATTTGTTTCCAACAAAAATAACTTTAAATTTTAAGAACATTATAAAAATAATTTTAAAAGAAACATTTATTAATAAATGAAACAAATAAAAGAAAAAATGGAAAAAACAAAAAATAAGCGAGAAATAAAAATCAGCATCAATGCACCCTATGGTTTAGAAAATATGCACCAATGCCCCCTTTTTTACCGAAAAAATGGTTGGAAAATAATCTGAGGGGGCACGGGTGCAACATTTTGAAACCACACAGACTTTAGAAATAAATTTTGAAACAAATGGGGTATTGGTGCCTACAAACCACGCAGGTACTGGCATTATTTTGCCACTAGTTTAAAATACTCCTCACTAATCAAGTCGCAAAATTTGTCACTAATTCTACACCGTTGACAAAATTTGTCAAAGGCGTTGCCAAGGCTAGGTAACATGAGTAGGCGTAGGGGTAGACACGGTACGGTTCTGGGACGGTTCCGGTTCCGGTACCGTTTCGGCCACCCATATTTTTTTTTTTGCATTTTTATTAAATTTTTAAAGTGTAGAATTGTAAATGTGTAATTGTTAAAAGAAAGGATGAAATAAAAAACTCTAAAAATGAAATTAATAAAGGAAAGAATGAAATAAAAAAAATTAATTACGGTACCGGAACCGGTACCGCCGGTGCCGGTACCGAAAAATGGGCACCGGAACCGGTCCCGGAGTGGGCGGTACCGGTACCGGTTCCCGGAACCGGTGGACCGTCCCGGCCGACAGTAACGGTACCGGTACCGGCGGTACCGTTTCCAGTCACGGTACCGTACCGGTACCGTGTCCACCCCTAAGTAGGCGTGGATACTCAACTTGAACAGTTAGACCTACCTCAGTTTTAGAAACCAAACTGCCGAAACTGATTTAGACACTGTTCTATTTGACGTTTTTTGCTTGTTACTTATTGTTATTAAAATCCGATCTATTTAGAATAGATTTAATCATTTCAGATCAAAATAGATCAAATCCACTCATTATTATTATTGTTATTGAAACCTATTGTTGTTGTCAGCTTATAGGAAGGGATGGATAAATGAAACAATTGTAGGTGAGAGAAATTCTCTTGTATTTTTTGATCATTACAATATGAACAAAGGTTGCATATATATATATATATATATATATATATATATATAGGATCTCACAAGTTAGAAACTCTATATGGAAACTAGATACAAAAGAAAACAAATATATATATATATATACACACACACACACTCGTAACTATCAAAAAAATAAACTCAGAAACTCAGAAATATATGGAAATATATTCCTTCATTCTTTAACACCCTTTCTCAAGTTCGAGCATGCAAAAGTGAAATGCCCAACTTGGGAATAAGAAACTCCAGACCAGCTTTTCTCAATGCCTTAATGTGAATATCTGCAAGCTGATGCGTAGTAGGAACGTGATGCGTACGAATCACTTCATGAAGAAGCTCCCGATTAAAATGACAATCGATCTCAATGTGCTTCGTGGGCTCGTGAAAAACTAGATTGGCGGAAATTTAAAGTGCCACAGTGTAGTCACAATGAATGGTCATATGACGGTTATGAGAGACGCCTGGACATTGCAAAAGATTCTTCAACCACTTAAACTTACAAGTAACAACAACAAGGGCTTGATATTCAGCTTCAGCACATGATTGAGAAACTGGCGTTTGCTTCTTTGTTTTCTGAGAGACAGGCGAGTTTCCTAGCTGAACGAACCATCTAGTCAAAGATCGTCTTGTCAATGGATAGGGGGGCCAATCGAAATCACACCAACTTATAAGGTGGAGACTATTGTCTGTAGAGAAGGATGCCCTACCCTGGACACCCCTTCAAGTACCGAACAAGACCTAGAGCATCAGTCCATTGATCCTCTCTTGGTTCCTTCAAAAGTTTAGCTAAAGTGTGCACAGCATAGGAGAGCTCTGCCCAAGTAAAAGATAGACAAACCAGACGTCCTACCTGATGTCGATAAGGTTCTGGATCTGCCAGAACTCTGGCTTGGGAATGAGCCAAGTGATCATTTAGCTCCATCAGTTGGCCCAACGGCCTGGCACCCAACAAACCGGTCTCAACGATAATATCTAATTCATATTTCTATGGGCAAAGGAAAATCCAGACGCACTTTTAGCCACCTCAATGCTAAGGAAAAAACTTCAAAGTTCCCAAGTCCTTCATATGGAAGCAATCAGCCATATACACTTTGAATTTGGCTATCATATCCGCATTATCTCTAGCAATGATGAGATCATCAACATAAATTAAAACATGTATTACTCCCTTCTTCCCAATGAAAGAAAACAACGATTAATCTGAGATGGGCTGAGCAAACCCATAGCGTCTCAAAGCTTGAGACAATTTTGTAAACCAACATGGTGGTGCTTGTTCAATACATACAACGACTTCTTAAGTTTGCACACCACATCAGAAGAATTTGAAAAACCTAGTGGCAATCTCATATTGACCTCATCATGAAGATCTCCATGCAAAAAGGCATTATGAAAATCCATCTGATGCAACTCCCATCCCTTTGCAGCTGCAAAAGCCAAAAGGGCCCGCACATTAGTTAACTTAACCACTCAGGCCAATCTTTCATTGTAGTCAAGCCCTTCTACCTGATGATTGCCAAGTATGACAATTCTTGCCTTGTATCTTTCCACTCTTCCTTCAGATTTGCACATGATTTTTTACACTCATTTGCAACCGAGGGGTTTTTTATGACGAGGAGGAGGAACAAAAGACCAAGTGCCATTAGCTTCTAATGCATCAATCTCCTCTCGCATAGATTTCCTCAATTTTTCATCCTCGAACGCCTTCGTAAAACTTTTGGGCTGCACTTTAGTATAAAGTGCGGTGAGGAAACATTTGTGTTTGTTCTCTCGTAGGGAATTTATGACAAGAGGGGATACTTACAATGTTCTCCAAGAAATGTACCACAAGATGTGTGACATAGTCCGCCATTCATACATTTTTTCATTTCTGACGTTGTCCTCGCCTCAAGACCTCTTCAGTGGACTGTGAAGACAACGGTCGATCACCATCCATGGAAAGTTCCATGGGGTCGACTGTTTATAGCTCCACTGATTCTTCTACATTTTGTGAAGATAAAAGT